GCACTGCTGAGCTCACACTGTCAGGGACAGTACAATACCTTACAGGACTGGCTCTATGTTACTTTGCATTGCAGCTCAAAACAATACAATTTATTAATTATAGCTGTTCCATCACTTTTCATATGTTATGAATTGTTTTTGAGCAGGACTGATCAGGTGGCCCACCCCTTCGGTTTAATGTCACTGAGGTTCTACATGAACAGCACAAATGAAAGTTGCTGTAAAATACAATAATTTCATCTAGATAGCAAAAATTCCTTGTGTGCAGAATGGAGGTTAATGAGACCATTGCACCGTACATCAGTGATTCCCAGCCAGAGGAGAGACTGTGGATTAGCGCAACCAATTAGGGGATAAAAAGTAATACTTGTGATAGTGATAGTTATAAATATAATTATTTAAATAGCATCCAATTTATTACCCAGTCTGTATTAGTAGTAGTAGTTGCTTAATTCATCTGGCAGGGCATTATTGTTGAGCATTGGTAGGTTATCAATTATTGGCAGAAATTATCAGAAATGAACAAAATATTAAGATTCCAAGTTATTATCCAATATAAATATTTTTATATTAATATTGGATAATAATGGCAGACAAATGGCTGGACCACATGGTCTAAGCAAGGAAGACAGGTACTGCATGCCATGTGGGATAGAGAGAGAGAGAATGTTTCTTTGTTAAGAGCAATTCATGTAGGCTAAAGGGTGCCAGGTTAAAAAGGGGGTTAGCTACATGTAAGATCAAGTACTGGGATGTGCTACAGGTATGTGTGTATATACTAGCATCAACTTAATGGTGCTGCTAACCAACAACAGACATCATAGCTGTGCTGTGCCATGCTATGCTATGCTAGGTTAGGTTAGGCACAGTCAACATTATCCAGCCCATGGTAAAAGAGAGGTCCTTTCCAGTGTGCTATACTGCAGGCATGCATTGTCTGGCTGTGTGGTTTCTGTGTCTCTGAGGAGGTTGCTGGTTGCTCCTTTGTCCTCACAGAGTTGGTGAAGGTGAAGGATTCTGGGAGGCTGCGTTGAAATGGCCCTCTCTTGTCTGTAGAACAAAAGAACATGTGGTCTCCACCATTTGAATGCACTGAGACACAATACATTCAGACTGTGTTCTACGAAACCACTAAAAACATATGACATTACAATTAACACCATTTTGAATTTACTGTCCAGTAGGCTTCTTCTAAGCCTTTTCCTGAAAAGTGTAGTGTCAGCCATTTGGGGAGTTGTGGGAGCTGAACAATGGGAAACATTTGTGGGGCCACTGGAACAAAGAGAGTGCTTATGTTAGCTTACACTAAGATGCAAACAGCAGCAATTAGATAACAGCAGTAAGAGCTGCAGCTGTGTTTTCTGAAGAAAGGGTGTAGGAGTCAAAAATAGTTGATCTTTGCTGCGCATCCTCGTCTACAATAGGACAGTTGTAATAGTATTTTTGTGGGCTTTTGATGTTGATGTGATGTTAATGTCACAAAGGCTTTCAAAAGCCTCTGACTGGAGAGAACAGACTGGTCCCTGGGTTGTGCTGCTGATTTCTCTACACTGCACAAAAAAGACACAAGAGTGATGATTAACATCTGAAAGCTGAGAGAAAACTTGCAAAGGGTTTGAAGGATGGTGAAGGCAACAAGTGGACAGACAGCCTCCTGGTCACCCAAGCTTGTAGCTGACGTCTTGTACTGAGTGAACCATGGGCGCTTAGTTAAAGACTAAGGAAGCAGAGAGGGTTACAGACCCCTGGAGGCCTGCGCTGACAACCTGAGCTATTACTGCAATTGAACAGCCGTGTCCAGGGCCCCCATATCTGATTTGTGGGCCAGTGTGTGTTTATCTCTGTGTGTGTTTATGTCTGAAACCCAGTATTCCCACGTCACGTGTGCCCCAAGCGAGCAGATGGACTCCAGCAGCAGTGACATGTGCAGGGAGCTGGTAAAATATGGAGAAAGAGCAGGTTGAGGTTTCTGGTTTCTAATCACAACCCCTGTTTACTTTACTGAAACCCCTATAGGGAAAGACAGAGAGAGGTACATCTGATCATAAATCTCCAGTGACTCTCCTCCTCCACCATCTCCACTCCATCTTCCCGCTCTTATTTCTCCTTTTCGGCTACACTATCTCATTAGCTGCAACCTTGACCTATCCTGAGGAGAGTGTCGACAAGTCTGCTGCTGCCGTGGGCTGCCACTGTGATCACCGCCCACTTAACATGGAAAAAAAACTTTTCAATAATGTAACAGTACTGGAATTGCATTTGTTACTTCAGTTGTAGATTTTGTGCTTTAAATAGATAGTAAAATACTGCCCAAAACAGTGAACAGCACCGATGAGAATGATAAATAACCACATGGTAAAAATACAACACTCGTTGTCTCTTCTTTTTCCTCAACAAACAAAATCAAAATCTCACATGAACCCTGCAGAGTTTTTGGATGTACTTCATCTCTGGCACCCCCTCCTCTTCCTGGTCTCTGTTTTCAGATTTATTTCTGTGTGTTTGGGACTGAGATAGGGCCACTGACAGGAAGCTTATGTTACAAATGCCAAGGTCAAAGGTTGCACTTGTATAATTCATCATCTCCATCTTTTGTGATTGCAAGTACATTGGAACATGTTACAAGATAACAAATAGTCCTGAGTCTTATCGTTTTCCTCGCCTCAGTTTTTCCCCTTCTCTTTATCATCCTGTACTTATTCCACTTTTCCTCATGCAGCTATCGCTCCAAACGCCCTTTCTCCTCACTTCACCTCACCTTCTCTTATCTCTGTATTTACCCACACTTTCGATTCTCTGTCTCCCACTCATCTTTCCCTCCCTCTTATAACTTTGTGTCTCGCCTTCATCTCTCCTCTTTCCTCCTCCTGTACACTATTCCCTTATATTACCTCTTTGTCTTGCTGTCTGCCTGATACCCTCCCCCTCTCCTTCCAATCTTCACCATCTCCTGTGTACACTCTGTATACCTTCCAGCTGATAATTAGCCAGACAGTGCACACTGCCTCAGCTTTGTTTGTGGCCCAGGGGCCGAGAGGACGTCCCTGTCTACCACAGCAACCGAGACAAAGTGACAACACTGACCTCAAATGGCCCCTGGAGGCAGCAGAAAGGCTGACTCAAGATTGAGGGATGGAAAAAGTCAGAGACAGTTCTTTCTTTTACTCATACAGCTGATGTGACCAGAGCATCTGTACCAGGACCTGGACCGGTTCAGCTCTCATGTACTTGTGCTGCATTTTTCGTAAAATAAAGAACTTGGAGATTACAATTAGATAGATTTCAAAATTTTACACATTTTTATAAAATGTATGCCCATGTAAGTGTGCATATTTTACATATAATACACAGTACATATTTACATTTGCCATATCACATACATTTACACATTTGCAGCCAGTAAGTGCACTATTTATTGCAGCACATTTAATTTGAATATGATATTTCAATGTTTTAAACATTATCGAGCACTTTTGCTTCCACTGCCGTCACAGGAAACAGCTTGAAGAAGTGTTGAGTGTGACCTTGTTTTCTCCACAAGTGGTTCCTAAATAACAGACTTGTTCCTCTCTCCTCTTTAACTCTTTTCTTTTCTCTGCCTCTCTTTATTTGTTATAAACTCTATCTCCAGACACTTGTTCAATATTACAAGCTTGCATAAATTTTGCCTCATGTTTCTGTATTTCTCCCAACTTTTACAAGCTGCCTGTTTTCATTGGAAGAATTTGGCTGAAACATGAAGCTTTTTCCACAAAACCCTGGTTATTAATGCAATCTGTCTGTCTGTGTTTTTACACCCATGCAGCGGAGGACTTTACATCAACCCTGTAAAGACTCACTGACATTTATACAGTCAAATATCCTTCACAAGGTCCCAATTAGGCCATTTCTCTGTGGTAGCCTGGTCTGTAAATTCTTGTACTGTACCTGCTAAGAAGGGATCTGAATCACCATCTGTATCTGCTGATGCGTTATTCATGTGACAGATTTGCAGTAGATAAGTGCTTCCCTTTAGTAGGAATCGCAATGAATAAGTGATGCTCTTTTTCATTCCTGTCGAGTCTCTCACTGTGATAAGAACAACAGGGAAACGTAAAACTGAAGAGCGATGGCAGTGAGGGACCTTGAAACTTTGAAATATGAAATTTTAGATCCATTTTTGGCCTTTGACCAGCACAATTCTGAACTCCAATTGAAAAAAGTTTTTCTCCGTGTTTTTTCTGTCTTTATGCTTGCTTATTTGTAATGCCAAAAAACAGGGTTCACTGTTTGCCATAGCTTTTTTATTTATGACAGGGTGTAAAAAGTTCTCCTGCAATGAAGTGAGGCAATGACATTTTGAGGCATTAGATGTCTCACTGGAATCAGGTTAACAGTTTCCCACGGACATCCAGTGTGCTATTATCAACAACACGAGACATAGCACTCTAACCCTAATTGTATACCCATGTGTTTCTCAACAATGATGATGAGATTCTTTTATGGGTCTGATTCAACATCTTGGAGGAACATCAAAGCAGAGGTTGAGGAGGAGTGATTTCTGTTGTTGTTTCGGTTGCTGGTGATGTAAGTTGAGGATCTTGAGTGGGTGCCTTTAAAGCCCAAATATCTCAGGCTAATAAAGCTGGGTTGGCTGTCAGCTGCCGTGTGTGTGTGTGTGTGTGTCTGTGTCTGTGTCTGTGTGTGTGTGTGTGTGTGTGTGTGTTTTCCTGTTTCTGTGGAATATCTGCCACCTGTGGCTGTGACTTTCTCCATAATCCACTCATTAGGTGCATAAGTGAAGGATTATCCATGCTCATACACACATTGGATGCATGCTGTACATGGACAATTTTATTGTCTCAACATGAGCTAAGCAGAAACTTTTCCCAGAAAGGCTGATGTTTATTTAAATCATACAGAACTTACGCTTGTGAGTGACATTAAATGCTGCAGATAAATTTCCTGTTGAGCACAGCACTGACAGAACTGCTCTTTCTTTTCTTTCTATCTGTTTCTAGGTAACGATTTGTTTCTGGTGGCAGTCCACGAGCTCGGCCACGCTCTGGGCCTCGAGCACTCCAACGATCCCACGGCCATCATGGCTCCATTCTACCAGTACATGGACACTGACAACTTTAAACTTCCCATGGACGACCTGCTGGGCATCCAGAAGATTTATGGTATGGCCTCCTGGCTTTATTCAAATGCACAGAGCAGTGTAAAAATGAGTCTAGTCAAGGTCTTTGCCAGAGTAATCTATATTTCTAACACACTGGAAGGACCTGATGATTCCACATGTGTAATCTTTGAGACACATACCATGATGTCACAGCTGACATCTAATCAGTCACAGACATCGATAACGCTTGCTGTGACTGTCGGTGGAAATGACATGAGTAAGATGTTTGCGTGCTGTATTAAATTGGAGTGCTGGCACAGTTACACCAAAAAAGTTCTACAGGTTAATCTGTCCATGTGGGCTGGAGACATAGTGCCCACTTGCAGGGCCAGTTGGTGATCTACTGTAGCTGGTGAGGTAACTGCTAACATGCTGGCACTAGTGAGTCACAGGGGCTGTGTCTGAAATTACACTCTTTACTTCATACCCTCTCCCATTGTATTAGGGTGTCCCTAGTAACTAATTCTTAGTGCGAAGCTTCCGTGATTTTAGTGATGACACAAAATGAGAGAGCAAACTGCTGAGTGTGTATTATCTAGGGAGTAGTGAATGAGTGATTTTGGACATGCTAACTGACAGTTAATATGCTTCTTAGCTTGATCATTAGATAATAGGATATTTAAGATATTTTTTCCTAACAGAGCAGTAAGTCAGCACAGTTGGTTCAAGAAAGTATTTGTACCATTGACTCCTGTTGTCCAATGTCTCGGTTTAGAGCAGTGACATTTTAGTTCTACGCTCCTTCGAAAGTCAGAGCAGTTAGGCATGTTTGCAGGGGGTCAACAGCAACAATTTGCAGGTCAAACCACAGCTGAACATGAAGCAAAATATTAAGAAATGATTCACCTCCATAAGCAAAACCACTGACTCCAATGAACTGATTTTGCCTAGTGAGACCTGGCCCAGCCATCATAACTGGTTTCCAGCAGTTGATCCATTTGATAACCAGATGGATCATGGATCTAACATTAAGACCCACATTTAGATCACATAGGCCAGAGCTTCCTCATCAGAGCACATAGCCCACACATTCCTCATTGACAGACGCTAATTGTAGTGCTTTGTCTTTTCATAAAGCTGATACAGCTCTGGGCCAGGTTTGTCACAAGTGTGAAATTCAGTTTGACAGGAACAGATTCACAGACCAGCCTCATTTTCTTTTTACACCCCTATAGCTGAATTAGTAGTTTGGGGTGTTAGACAAAGACTTGTGATGTTTGATGAATTGTTCCACTGTGGTTGGTTTGTTGTGAAGGGACCAATCATGTTTACATTTATTATTTAAATTTTCAGTCCGTCACCCTAACCTCAGTTTATAAGGAAATATAGGGAAAGAGCTTGGTGGTAAGTGACAGTGGTGTCCCTTATTGCTGTCGGTGCTGTAAGCCAGTCCGACTCTGCTGGTCTGTCACATGAATGGCTGAGACCCACACACTAGCACACTAGCACACACTCACACAAGAATCTGCCATATGCTTACATGGTCAGGGCACGTCCCTCTGGGAGTGACAGACCTGGGCAAACGATCAAATCTCTCCTCATCCCTCTTGTGTTTTCCTCCTCTCTGCTGCTGCCCCTCCCTCCTCCCAGAGTTGAAGGACAGGACAAGTGATGGCAGCTCCTCGCTCAGACAGGGAAGTGTTTTCCACAGTCTCTGCCCACATTTCATATTATTTTTTATTTAAAGTACTCAGATTTAAACCCAGTCCAGACAGGGCTATAGTTGAACTCTTCCTTGATTTTTCTTTTTATGTCCACAAGCTTGTAGCTCCAGCTTTCTATCAATGAAGCAGATACTTTGTACTGCAGTCATTAATCCTTTGTGCTGATGACTGGGGCAGGAGAGTTTCATGTTAATCCAGACTCTGAGTCACTAAATGTGTTTCTATGGGAAAATGAATGGAATTCTTACTGCGGGAAGCAGGAGAGCCTGAAATAACTCCTCACACTTCAAGCTCTGTTAGCTTCCTTCGCTTCCTCGTGGCAACAGAGATGATGAATGTGGAAACTAAACAGGAACCAAGGTGGGAGTTGCACAGGTTAGATGAATTAGAAGGTGGGAAGGTGAGTTCAGAATAGGAAAGGTGTAAAAAGGTTCTTCCATAAATGTAGAGAACGAAGTGAAGAGTGAGGTGGTGTAGGAGATGCTGAATTTGATTTCATGTGGTTAATTGTGGGGAAGAGAAGGGTCTGGCAAGGTACAGTGAAGAAGTTCTGGACATGTAGCCGTGCTGTTTTTTCATCATTATTTGTTTTCCTTTTACATCAATATGAAAAAAAATAACAGGTTAACTGGATATTTCTTCATAAAACTCAGCAGCCTGCAAGCAGTTCCAGATAAAGAGAAATATAAATATACAGACATAAAGAAGTGGACAAATAGTCTGTAAATTATTTTTCTTTCACTTCCCTTTTCTTTTAATTTCCTGAGATTTGAACTTAATGACTTCCCACCCTTTGAAGAGAATATCCCACTTCCTGTTTACATAAGCAGCAAAAACACATTACTGTGCATGATGATGTTAGAGTGAAGTGAAAATCAGCATGAAGCCATTCACATCAAACAGTCATTATTGCACTGAAGCTCACCCTGAGCCTTTAAATGCACCAAAGGTTATGCAATTAATAAAAATAAATCTTCTGGCTTTCACACAACATATTGTATAGAAAGCAAAGAGGAGAAACAACTAGATATAGTTTGTTTGAGGATCTTAAACGAGTAATCATAGTAATAAAAGCTGGGAGGCCTGCAGGAGACAAACAAGACTAGGTCAAAACCTAGTATATGGCTGGACGTATGGTCAATGTGCGCATAATTGAAAACTTTTGTGGAACCACTGTAAACAACTGATGTCATTGTGTCATATTTGCATTCAGCCTAGTATCAGCTGGTTTCAGCTCTTTATCTGCTTGCTTCTCTCCTCTCTGCTCATATATACAGTATTTTGATACAGCTGAATTCACAATGAAGCTGTTCCCATTTACATGTTTTATTTGTGTTTCTGTTGTCAGACAACAGAACAAGAGTGAAATACTGACTGAAACCGACCCATAGAGACTACATGTTAACTTCCAAGCCATTTCCAAGCTGCTGCTCTGCTGCTAAAATCCTGACTTTATAACTGTGACGTTGTCTGACAAAATCAGCATAAACATAAATTAAAGGAAAAATTTGTGCAGTAATTTCACCTATATTTACTTGAAAAAGTTATAAGCAACAGAATATCTTTCTCATTCCATCGCTCAGACAGCGCAGCAGAGCCTCTGCCTCTCTCTCATACTCATTGTACAGAGTAGATACAGCGAGAGACTGACGACTCTCTTCTAAGCAGCCAAGGTTTTTCCAAAAAGTTGCTAGATTTGTTGCAAGGTGCTTTTTTGAAAACAAGTCTCTAAATCTAGCGACAAATTCCCTAAGTTGTCAACATTGCAGGCTGTAAACACACCCTAATAGAACCTGTTTGCACCAATCTATTTTGACAGGGCAATAGCCGTTGGAGAAACTCCAAATTAGTCATGTGGCTTTCGGCTGACCAATGGTGGAACTATGATCACTCAGCTCTATCCCTGAGTCATTCAGTCAGTCAGTTACAGATCAGACGCTGTGGGTCCAGCCAAAAAGAAGCAGCAGAGTTTTCGACATCCTGACTCTAACATCTCAGTTTGGGTAAACCTCCAAAAACACTGGATCATATCTACCTAGACATCCCATCATGCAACTCAGTTAATTTACACCATAAAAGGGTTTGTTGGATGTGTAGTATAACTTGTGAGGAGCAAACAAAAATTAATGTGTAAAACTGGTGGACTGAATACCTTTTTGGGAATGTAAAATCTTGCAAAGTACTTTTTTAAAATCAACATAATGAGGAAACATTTTGTGAACATACAGTGTAAAAATTGCTGAGTGAACAAAACCCCAAAACGTTCACTGTGTATTTAGTTTTCCTACAGTGTCAGTGTTGCAGGTTTAGGTTTAAGGACTTGTTGCTCTGACAACAGCTCCAGGTGGATTTTAAACCAGCTTCAAAGAACTAAACAATCCAGACTCATGTCAAATCATCAGCATTATAATCTGGATAACTGGATATCCACGTATGAATAGCAGTTCACATTGAGCTGCTCCACTGGTTGACATGAAGATCTCCATTTCCCTGGGAAAAATGAAATGTCGAATGCTAAAATTACAGTTAGACAGAAAAACCCAAAGTTAGTAATGCCTTGATTTCTTGTCATGGGTTTACCATATTGTTGTTGTGTGAGTGTGTGTGTCTGTGTGTGTGTGTGAGCATGTGCACACATCTGCATGTTTGTCCACATAACTGCAGAGTGCTTTAGCTGCACTAATCCAGGATGAATTTCAGGGGATTTAATTCACTCTCATGTAGACCCTCTGATCGCTGTTTTCTGGCTGGGGGGGGGGGGGGGGGGGGGGCGGGGGGGGGGGGGGGGGGGGGGGGGGCGTCAGCTGCTTGGTGAACTAGTTTGATGGTTTATCTTTTTGTTAGATTGGTGAAATGCCTGGTGGCTTGTCTTCATTCACTGGCTTTTAAATCATTTGTCAAATCTCCTCAATGTTTACAGTAGCTTTCAAGGTCATTAATTGTACATGCCACTGTTACTCATTGATATGTTTCATGACTGGGAGGGTGGAGAGGGGTGGGGTGTGGTGGGGGTTGTTGCTTGTCAGATTTGCATCTTTCATATTGCAGTCAACTATTCCTGCATCTGTTGGCCCCAATCAACACATTGCAACTCATATCCTGGTTTTCACAGTTACACAGTGTGTTAAACATGTGTCATCACATGCTAAATTATTCACGCACACAACCCACACACTCACACAGCCTCTCCCTCTCTCCTTGCTCTGTCCTTCTATCATGTAATTCATGAATGTTAAATAACACCAATGTCCATATTTCCACATGGGAGATCATTTTATTTTTATCTCTACAGTATATACATTTTTACGTTTTTTTAATTTTTTATTATTCCTACTCCTCAAATTTTCTGAGCTGCATCTCTCAACTTGGCAGAGTCAGATGCTAGCTATGGCTTGGCCTGATCTTGTTTTTCTATCTTCTCCTTTGTCTCTTATGACTTCTTTCCGTTTTCCTTATTCTGCAACTCTTTGTTGCTTAAACTTGGCTTCAACATTTGTCTACCTTGCAAGCTCAGGTAGCTGGTTGGCTGTAATCAGCACGGTAACAAAGAAAGTGGTTGTATGCATTTTTACAGCACAACAACTTTGCCTCATATGATGTTGCTTAATATGAAGAAATAGTTTGACATTTTGCTTTTAATCTGGATTTTGTGTCTGATATCTAATCTGTGATGAAATATGGACATACAAACAGAAAATGTAAAACATTTTTTAGTGTATTAAACTTTTTTTTTTATGTAAGAGCTGTCCTAAACCATGTTTAGCATAGCTCACATGCACAGTGATGGTATTTGTAAGTAGCCTGAATTAAGGACAATATATTGCAAGCCTGGCTAATACATGTAATGGCTCTGCTGTAAAAAGACAAAAACTGAGTAACCAGCTGCTGAGGGAGCCTTAAGACTTGTGAATTCATCAGATGCACATTTAGTATCTTTCACATGCATTGATCTGCATGTGTTGCTATGTGTTGACAGTTCTTTGTCAGGTGTGGAAGTTCTGATGCACGTATCACAAACAGTGAGATGTTTCTATCTTACCTCCTCCAGGGCCTCCTGATAAGATTCCCCAGCCCACTAAGCCTTTGCCGACAGCACCCCCTCCTCGCTCCCATCCTCCTTCAGATCCCCGTAAACCAGACAGGCAGACGCGACCTCCGAGGCTGCCCCCAGGGGACAGACCGTCCCACCCCAACGCTAAACCCAACATCTGTGATGGAGGCTTCAACACCCTGGCCATACTGAGGAGAGAGATGTTCGTCTTCAAGGTGAGAGAAGAGTCTGTGATTCAGAACAAACCTGGGGGCATTTTCGTGGATCTCTTAGCACTGTGAGAACACAGCAATCAGTCTTTGCAGTCTTTTACAACTTGAGACCTTGTTGGATGAGTAGTTTCATCATATATTTCAGACCAAAAAGATATATCTGAAGAGATTTGTGGCTGTAGAATTTAATCGACTGATTAATACAACAAAAGAACATCTCCTCCCTTGATTGAGACCAGTGCAAATGGCCTGTAGGTTTGGAAACTGTGTAGAGAGAGCGCTTTGAGTGATAGTAGTTGAATGGGTGTATGGATTTCTTCAGAGTTTGGAGAATTACCTAAATAAACAGAGGGTGGGAGCTTTTCTGCTAATCTGCTTCATGTTTGATACAGTACGTACACAGTATGGAAAAAGCTTACTTGGATGTAATGTAAATTATTGTGGTTGCATTTCATTTTCAAGTTTTGTGCACCTCAGAAGAAAAGTTGTCTGGACTTTTTAGTAGAGAACAGTTTCACACTGTGGTTGTAGCTCGTAGGAATATGGTTGACTCTGCTCTATTATCCTAAAAGTAGCAGCTGTGTATTTTATTGCATAATTAAAGAAGCTATTATGTCTAAAAGGAGCTTGTTCCAGGTTACTTGAGGCTGATGTAGAAAGAATTTGGACAAACTATGTTTTATAATAAGGAGGAACACCACACCATGCACAGTGCAGGGTTGCCTGGTTTTCATATCGTTCAGAGCAAAAGCACACATGTCCCTTAATGCATCTTTATCCTTGGTCTGAGCTTGTGAGCACAAGACCTTGGCAACATGCAGTAAGGAACAGAGAAAAACCTTAGGGCAACACAAAGCTGTCCTGTGTTCTCCACAGAAAGAGTGCCTCTGATGCCTTATGTGAGTGTGTCTGTATTTTTCTGGGGATATAAATAGATAGTGTTCATTGGTTAAATAAGAGGCTTGTGGAGCTGAGGGAAAAACCCTTTCTATCTTCTCTGCCACGCCCCCCCCCTCCACACGACTGTGTTCGTTAGACTTGAAAAACTAAATCTGGCTTGGAACCAGAGCTGCTACCATGGGGGTATTTAACTAAAATTAGACTCAGAATTCACACTGTGTCAGTTTTGTGGGGGAAATAGTACCTGCATGTTATGATGGTCTAAATACACAACGTGTCTGCAGTAGCTCCTGTCCCTCCTCTTTAGTCCCAGGGCAGCAGTCTGCTGTGATGGACTGATGAGGATCATGAGATTTCTTCTGCAGAGCTCAGAGGTAGTGATGAGACAAAAGGGACATTCAGCCATCAGCCAACCTTTTTAAGAGTTCAGGAAGTGAAGGAGACCAGGACAGTCAGGCACTACAACTGATCTATTGTATCAGTGGGTTTTGATATTAAATGTGCATGTTTCAGTGCACCAGTGAAATGTCTTGCACTACTTTTTAAAAAATGATTTCTGTCTGAGCGTGCCAGTCCCTAAACCTTTGTTTTTCAGACCTAATCAAACATCAGTTTGATGTTGTTTACCTCTAACCTGTTTTATTGATTAAAATCAAATCATCTATCCGAGGCCAAAGACCACCAGATAACTATCTATTTGAAAGGTTTATTCTGAGGGAATTGTTTTGGATTGTAATTCAAGCATGTTTCCCAAAATCTGATCACTTTACTGACATTAGGAGCCATGAAAAAGCGCCTCTGAACTGCTGTTGTTCCTCATCCAATGTGACAGATTCTCCTAGTATTGCTCCTCATGACATGGTGATAAGACATATCTGACACTTCTAAACCGACAAATAATAAAAATATCAATATGAATGCAAAAAAAGAAAACAGAAGGGTAGAGTCTCTGACCTGTAATTGCTCAGTGCTGATGTGGAGCTGGCTTTGGCTCCATCATTTTCAAATCTTTGATGAATGTTTGTCTCCATTGGCCTCACATTTTTCCTAAGGTGTAGATTGATGGAGCAGAGGTATGATTTGTTACAGAACACATGTAAGTGCAGTTGTAAATCTACTGAGTTCACATAATTAGGACCACCAGTAACATTAGGACTTGTGATGATTTGCTCCGCCTGCAGCATAATCCACATCTCAGCCGGTGAATCAAGTGTGGTCAATGAAGTGAAATCAATAAGGGATCACAGGTTTGACTTGGATTCACTCAGTCGGTGAGTTTCACTTGAGGAGCAGGTGGTCCTAATATTTCTTGACTCACAGTGAGAGCTGTGCCAGTTTTCTTCAGGAAGTCTGAGGTATCATGTTGATGCATTTCTCTCTTCTGGTGAATGAAGCTGCCCAACTGTAAGACAGCTGATCTGAAATCATAATTAGTGATGTTTGTATTACTGCGGAGCTTGATTTATTCGCTCTGGTCACGCCAAGGTCTACGTGTGATTGTGAGGACTGTTTAAATTCATGGCTGACAGAATGATTTACAGCTTGCGCTTCTTCTTGTTTCAGTTTGAGTTGAATTTTTTTCTCTTGTTACTGCCATTCATAAAGCTGATTTCTTCTTTGCTTGATGGTTGGATTGATTGTCTGCCTGGTTACTTTGTGCTGTAGGTCCATTTGGCCTGCCCAGCTTGGCTATACTCACCATCCCAACTTGATTGTTTTGGAAGAGTCAAGCCCAGTCTGTGCCAAGTCATTATAGCAGACATCTTAGCAGTCTCACAGCCCCTGAGGTCCACAGGTGGTCCAGCAATGTAAAGGCGGGGGCTTTGGAGTAAAGCGAATACACTGGGAGCACTGAGGCCAGGTTTGTTGGACCTGTCTGAGGTTTGTTTGGCTAAGTGAGAACTGGTCCAGTACAGGAACCAAAGATTTACATCGTCAACATTAGTCAGGTTTTAAAAAGGGAAAATAAAGCAAAGAGAAGAATGTCATGCTCAGGTCCAGTTGTATGTTTGCAGCAGCCCTCAGCTTGCCTCCACAACCATTTGCATGTAAATGGGGCATTTTTTTCTCAATCTACTGGTTTATTTGCAACATCCAGGATGCCAGTATATTTCAGCAAAAATTATTCATGTGGCAGACTCTCATAGCTTTTTCTTAATTGGAGTTAGTAACATTAATGATTGCACCAGGACAACCCCTGTGTCTTCATGTTTCTGACAACAGAAAATGGTGAAACCAGGGATCTTGTGTTGCCCTGCAGAGACGGAGGTTATCGTTTTCAAGATGTTTCAGTGTTCTGCTTCTGGTTATCATGATCAGTGTCAGTTAACACATTAACAACATCCATTAATTTGGGGCTCACACAAGAGACAGATTAATAAAAAAGAATAAAATCTGTGTTTTTCAGTCAAACTTCAAAAACACTGGATCCTATGTTTCCCTATGCTATATAAGTGGAAAACACTTATATAGCATCTTTTCATCAGACTCTCCTTGTGCAACACAGCCTTTTTGTTGGTGACATCATCAGGGTTATTGTACCAAACTGGGGAAAGCAACAGAAGACATTGTACAGCTGCACTAATATTCTTCATGATGTTTAAACTGAACTTCGAAATCAACTCAAGTCCCCTTTAACTTCAGCGATGACACCAATAAAGGAGCTAAAAAGTTAAAAGATGTTTCTCTGTGTTAAATTATTCAAACTACTCTAACTATGTTAAGTACAAATGACATCAAACATCACAGCTGGAGGATCCACATTTTCTGAACAGAAACACCACAGATGTTGGTGTTATAACGTAAAACACAAGCTCGGTAATATTTAGTTCAGTATTGTTCCCACAACGCTGAGGCCATTAATCTACAAAGGCAGGCTGGGAGCCACACTTGTTAAGATGGTAGTTTTACAGTTGGTTGTTTTTCTCTCTAGTGAGGTGACAGAGGGTCAGTTAAGATTCACAGACAACTGTGTTCAGCTGTGTAGATCCAGTAGCACCAGTAAATATCCCAGTAAAACTACACAGCTACTACTTTTATGATTGCAGTCACTTGAGGCTCAACTTTCTGTGAACCCAGGAACCATGTTTGCTCACTGGAGCTGTAGAATACACCGTCATACTGTATATGCATGTGTACATAAACTGTTTTCAATGACCAGACAACAAATTGCCAAGAAGCCCCTCATTTCCCATCAGGCTTTAAGTGCAGTAACATATGGATGTAGAGACATGAGCTGTAGGTTTGTTATGGGATGTTTTCAAGTCTGAATTTGAGTTTCCTTTCTTCTCCTCTCCAACAGTCCTAAATTCACTCATTGAGAGACAATTCCTTCCATGATATGGACATATTTAGAGCAGGGGACTCTGGGACGCTGGAGGGTCCCTTGCCATTCAGGATCAACCACTTGGTGTCAGAGCCACACTTTGAATTCAACAACCCTTAATGAGAACACAGTGGTCAAGGGAGCAGTGAGCTGTCTACCCTCCTTAGTGCCTCTGTTCTTTCCTTCCTTCCTCCAGAGAGGACTGGGTGTCTGAGAGCACACTTAATGGCACCAGTTTAAGGCTTTAAGTCCAGTGTAAGGTTGTATTTGTTTCGCATGTTGGTAACTTTGGTTTAAGGATGTCAAGAATGTGAACACAAGAAATAATCTTTTCATCCAGGATAGCTAAAACAGTTCTTAAATATCCCCCACACACACACACAGACAGACAGACAGACAGAAAGGATGAATGATGTTAGATGAAAAGATCAGTACTCTCATGTCTGAAAGCCACAGCCAGGAGGTGATCATCTTAGCTTAGCATATAAAGCCTGGCTCTGTCCAAAGAGAACTAAAATCTGTCCACCAGCATCTTTAGATTTTACTAACCAATATGTTCCATATAGTTTCTCATAATCTATGCACAAACAGAAGTGTAAAACCAGGCGAGCTGCTTCAGTCTCTTGGCTGGCTTCATATTTACTGAGGTATCGATCCTCTTATCTAACTCTCAGAAAGACCTTCCCATAATGTTAAACTGTTCCTTTAGACATAAGCTCCTGTTTTCCTCTGAGCCAATGAGGGTCCTGTACCTCAGGCACAGAGTTTTTTCACTCTG